ACCTTCACCTCAGAAGTTGCAAGGAACAATGTTTTACAATATCTTGACCTTCCCATTCCATTCCAAGTGACACACACTTACTGGTCGTACCAAACCCGTTCTGTAAAAAAACTGTCAAGTTACAATAAGCTAATTCGAAAATGGTGAACAATGCGTTGGACATGTCGTGGACATCAACTATAAAGAAGTCTTGTCCACATGCTATGTGCGAAAGCTTCATACATCAGGTCAGATCAGAAGTGTCTAGTTTTCCACACTTGGCTCTCTGGTCTATTTCCCAGCATTTTTTGCACCATTTGAAGCTGGAGCAAAAGAATGGTGCAGGTGCAACGGCGTTGCATTCAGAAAGACGTAGCCAGATTGCAGTCAATCCCCATTTGTACACTGTTTCTCACCACCTTAAGAAGGTGACCACAATGTCGCCTTTCACGTTGGCAGGAAGCTCGAAAGCATGTGCCCTTCTATTGACAAAAAGGAGCAACAAAGAAAGGTGACTTGTGCAGATAGTGAGTGTTCTATAAAACACACCACTGAGTCCGTTGACTGCACCTGTGGCGTTGTGTACACCACACAGTCTTGTGGCAGTTCCTACATGCACTTTAAGAAAAAATTGAGTATTCAGGGACTAATTCTGCTACACAACAGTATTCCTCATCCGACTTGCTCACATTTCCTTTTTTTAAAACCCGGCACTGGCCACTTTCCTGTAAGGAATGCTATGTTACACTGATAACGCACACGCGCCGTTCGCAACCGCGAACCTAATGGAACCGTGGTGATAGCTCGAGGAAAGTATTTGAAGTAGATGACAATTATTGTTGTGAAGCAGAAACGCTCCCCAAATACTCGTTTTTCTTTTTTTTTTTAGTTTAGGGCACATGGGGAGGTGTATCAATGTCCATTTGAAGGGCGCACCGTCTTCATACCTTGCCCTCCACTGCCAACATTGCGGCTGCACACCCGAGCTGAATAAAATGGTCGTGGTGACTAGGCACAAGAGCCAGCGCACTCGAGAAATCATGGAGGCGTTTGAAATGATAAAAATGAGAGACAGATGCGTGAACTGCTTTTTATCGCTTTATTGATGAGGAAGTGGCTTTCCTGGAAGGTGTGCAGTTGCATTAGAGTATGCATGGGTCTTCTTTTCTCTGTTGGTGATCTTTGAGGTGTGTGCTGCTTTGTTAATGTTTTTACTGCCTATATATATCTGTGATTTTTATTCCATTATAGAATCAGCTGATAGACAGCGCTTGTGTTACAGTTTCCTTATTTGTCCGCATTTCGTTTCCGCTGGCTGTCATGACTCTTTTCCAACTCGCCCAACCCACTACCCTCTTTTGAAGCTCCTCTGCCTGGCATCAAGAAAGCATTAAAAAGAACGACTCGCACAGATCTCATTTATCCATGCAGGATACAATTTTGCAAATCAAATACCACATAACTCGACATGAAGACAAGGGCTATTAGGTCCATCCTAAGATTACATCTCATGTAAGTTTTTGACAAAGTGGCTCATACAGCGTAAGATAGCCGTACTAAATCTAGGCAACCGAGTGCACAGCTATGTTGTGGATTACAACCCCAAGAGGAAACTCGGGGCAACACTGGGCAAACTCGCATCCAAAGACAGGAGCATGGGCAGCATCAGCACCCCACAAGGCTGTCATGGCACTTGCTGATACTCTTTAATCTTGTCATGATCAGCTTCCCCGAGCACCTCATCGCCATAGAGGGCTCTAGAGCAGAACACTATATGATCAGCGACATTTTGATTTGAATATTCAAGGGAAGTGATGGAGAAACTGAGCAGTAGGTACAGTTTGCGGTTGAGGTAGTGGAAGAGTACATTATCATAACCAGTCTTTTCTGCTTGCCGGAAAAAGCTGAACTTTTCTAAATTCAAGGAAAGACACCCCACCCAAATTCAAGGAAAGACCCCCCACCCCAAGGGTTACATCTTGCACACTGTGAACCAAGAAATTTGCATACCCACGAAAGATGTACAAGAAATGCCAAGAATCAAGCAGATTGAAGTGCTTGACCTCGCCATAGAATCCAACAGTGCCAGCAGAGCAATGGCCAGCAATCTGGAGACTAAGACCGCAAACACGATGAGGCTCAGAAGAATCACCAACAGGCATTGGCATATGAAGAACAATGTCGCCAGACTCATACACTCTTTCACTGTTAGTCACATCACCTATGTGAATGCCTACTACCACAATTTGTACACTGCCGAAAAAGGCCAAGCTGAAAACACTAAATAAGAGAACACAAAACATGGCTCTGGGCCTTACAAATAGCAATAGCATGAAACTTGTACTATAGCTGGGCACCCATAACATGCTTGAAAAGATATTAGAGGTCCAAGAAATCTTGCAACTCGAGAGACTGACCAGAACACAAACAGGCAGGTGTATCCAGGACAAACTCGCGATAACTTATCACAAGCAGCATTATGACAAGACATCCCTCCTCAGCTCGATTGATGAAGAGAGAGAGAGAGAATAAAATGAGCGAAAGGCAGGGAGGTTAACCAGAAATTAGAGCATCCCGTTAACTACCCTGCACTAAGGGAAGGGAGAATAGGGAATAAAGATGGGAAAGAAAGCGAAGATTGAAATAGACGCGCAAAAAATAAAGGAAAAAGTGAGCTGGGGTGCTATAGGCTATTCAATAGGCCACTACCACTAAAAAAGCTCCAGGCGGCTTACCTATCCAATGGTACCCGTCCCGAAGTCTATCAAGGTCGAAGAGAGGTTAGAGCCAGGGCTTCACTACAACTTTTCAATAGGGACAAAGATAGTTCAGAATTTATTGAAAGAAGAATAAATAAAAAGGATACTATTTTCTGCCTCCTGTTGTAGAGGAATTGCTGAAGGCCTTTAGGAATGGGGAGAGGGAAGTAAAGATGATCGAAAGAGAAAAATAAAGAGTGAAAGGCATGGCGAGAGAGAGACTTGTCAGCGCAGTCAGCAGCATGAAGCCAAAGTGGTCGTCTATAGGGCGGCGAGATTCCCAGAAGCACAGAACTCGAGGAAGGCTCAGAGGGCTAGCATCTTCAAACGTGCGAGAAAAAAGATGTCCTCCGCCATCGCTGCAGGCAGACCGAACAGGCGACAGCTCACCATCACGCATAGTTCTGTAGCAAGGGCAGGGCAGGAGCAAATAATATGCTCCAGCGTTTCGTTTCGTCGTTGCCGCACCTTCGGAACACAGGCGATAAACAGCGATTCAAGGAATACATACGTGCTGCAGTCCAGGTGCTGGTGGTATGCAGGTGCACCAGCAACTGCTGCTTGCATCTGTCCAGGCCACTCTCAGAAAGAAGAGGTGATGGCTTGCTGTTTGCCACCCGTGTCTCAGGGTGGGTCGCTGGTAGGAGTAGCTGCAGTCATTGCCGAGAGTAATCCGACTAGCCTACCGCCTTGGTGACTGGGATATAGCTGTGGTCTGTGCTCCCTTAGTGGCGGCAGTGGCCTCCTCATTGCCACCTATCCCCACATGCGAGGGAAGCCAATGGATAGACAGGCGCACACCACTAGCTCCGATGGTGGTTAGTTTAGCATGCAGCAATGCCAAAGTGATGCCTGCTTGGTATGGTTGCAGCTGTGCTTGTAGGGCTGGTGGGAGTAACCTATGATCGCCGTGGGCAGCTGGGGTGACGTAGCAATGAGGTAGTCGGCTGCCAAGGAAGGCCAGATAATCCAGCTGCAGTGGAGTTGGCCTGGAAGGGAAGGTGGCACCAGATGGTTGTTCCAGTCGATGGTATGACACAGGAAGCCGCAGCCGAGTAGGGGCTGTCCCAAACAGACCCATCCGGGAACACCAAGAGATGCCCCCATAGCCTGTCATGGAGTTTCTCTGCGGCCGACTGGTGGAGCTCGGACGCCAGTGTCTGCCTTTTTCTGAGGTTTTGCAGCCCTAAATGTATGTCCAGAGGCTGCTGGTGGTGTGGAGTGTGCTGGATAGGACAAGGAGCCTCGGGCACAAAGAAGTACAGTTTGTAGACACGGCAAAATATGTAAGTTAGTATGCCATCGCAGTGGCAGTCCTCAATGCTGACAAACAGTTGGTCAGTCTGATTAGTATGTAAAGCAAAAGCTCTAAGGTAGTGAAATAACCCTATCTATAGTTTGCACCAGTTGCAAATACATACTGAGCGACTCACAGACAGCAGTCAGAATTTATGCACAAGGCAAAATTACCCCATTTGTGGCTATCCTCAAAGCCAATGAGAACTATATCACCTGCGAGGAGATGGAGGAACGACACATGATATGCTTCCCAGTGCGCACGTGTCCCAACAACCCTATACCCAACCTCAATAAAGAGAACATGCAACCACGCAGTGCTAGGTCGTACGTTCTGCAACTGCCTCTTAAGATCCTCCCTGGGGTATGGAAATCCACCGAAGGGCGGGACAGAGAGGATAAGAATGAACAGGTGATATTATGACATTACAAAATTTTGTCAAAAATCAAGGTGCGATTATCCACCCCCAAACCCCAAACTCTGATGGGCCCAAGTGGTACATTGGAGGCAGTTACAAACCCAGACTTCATCGATTCACCCAGACTCGATTCATCATAGGAGGATATAAACAGACGTTTATTTTGATAACTGCAAACTATGCAGTTGGGCTGTCATGTCTCTTAGACACATTCTCTGGGAATGAGAGGTTACAGGTTCATCTAGGGAGACAGCATTTTAATGCTGTCTCCCTAGATGAAGCTGCAACACAGTAAATCTTTAAAATCAACAATGGGCCATCTAGCAAGCCTGTGAAGCAGCAAGAAGACGGAGTCTTCGTACTTCTTTGGGGGGCAGCCTACCAGACCATGAATTTTCGGAATTTCTTCAACAATCCCCACCAGCAGCTTCAGTGTATATCAAGTATTAGTACTGTCGTTTTACATCACCCAAACATTTGAGACAGGCCAATTCTTCTGTAGTCCACAAGTAATGTGCAATTGAACTATGGGGCTTCTGCTACTCACCCTGTGGTAGGCTTTAGTAAGTCCCATGATCAACAGTACTGAGGCATGAATGCTGCCACAGACAGCAAAGAACAAAAAAAGTGTGAAGTTGGCATGGTTCCGGTGCCCACAACAAGTGTTGATCCATGGACAGTGATGGTCCATCTTGAGGACACACCTGCAAGCCGCACCAAAGCAACAATGCAAAACGAGGTCAAATATGTGTAGCCTATACTAATAGCATTATTTCAAATATGAACAGCTCAATTACTCTGAATTTTCAGTTTCACTTGAATTAATAATACAGTGGCGTATTCAAACTTCAATACATATTTTTGGGGCTACTCTAAGCTCAGAAACTGGCTTTTAAAAGCCATGTTGAACTTGTATATATTTATATAAACAAAAAGCATTCTGACAGTCTTTCTGGCTCCAATGAATGGTGAAAGCATTTAGAAGGGCGTAGAATGCAAAGAACAGTGGCTCATTCTGATATCATATTTTGATATACCACCAACTGGTCAAAGTTAACTTAGAGTGTCACTTACAATCCGTTAAGCAGTTTTGAGAAATCTGATTCGACAATTTAGGTTATAGATAACAAATTAAAGTAATAAAACACAACTTCCTTAGAAAGCAGAGACCGCTTTCTAAAAGGACATTTTACCAATAACACGACCAGAATTTTTGAGTGTTTGCAACCTTAAATGCACTGTGCCAAATGAGAAACTGCAACTTTTTTTTTTTTTCATAGCTACTTCGAAGCATTAGCAGCCGTTTCATACTTTTAAAAAATATACTCATATAAAGAATTCTGACCTTGGCAGTAAAAGGGGTCAGGATCAACAGGTCAAAACGAGCAAAAACTCATGCAATGACAACTTTGACTAGTTTTGACTTGAATGAAAAAATATATAAAGAAACATGAAAACAACCACGATTCCTTAAAAGTTGTATAATGATGCTCTAGATACTTATTTGGCTAATTAGAACATACACACAGAAAGAATAGATATATTATTGGTGTCAGCAATCTTGAACAAACTAAAAAAATTGAGCAATCACACAAAAGTAAATGCTGTCAGCTGGGGATTAGATGAGATTTTCAAAATATTGCATGCATCTTTATAAAAATGCACCGCCACTTTTCTTATGCTAACTGTAAAAAAAAACATCAGTTTGAGCATCATGAACAGCTTTTCTGCACAAGAATTAGCTATCAAGTAAACATTACATATACTGTATATGAATAATTACAAACTACAATTTCATCTCCTATTAGATCTCAAAAGAGGCATGCTGGTACCGAATTCCTGAAACTTTCAGGGTTCTAACAAACTGAAGATAAAATAACTTTATTTTGTGCCTTTAAAAGCACCCCTGACCTGCAATCTTAAAACTTCAATTATAGACTGGACATTAAACCATACATGTCTCGCAACAAGCGGGTAGATTTTGAGTGCATTATGTGCAGTGTAAAATCACTGAAATTTTTTGAAGTACAGCTTAACCATATTAGCTCTGGCAACATTGATGAATGAAGAAATAAAGTGAATTCTGGAAGGTAAAAGCGCAAACTTACGTTTTCACAAGAGTTTGCAGTGGTCAGCTTGAGATGGTTTCGGCAGGCATTCACTATTTCATGATTTTTTTTAACTGGAAATACTTAGACTACCATGTGATAGCCACTTTAAAGGGGCCATGCACCCTAAACTATGCATGTGTGATTCTACTTTTGCATACTACAGAACTGATTGATTGATGATTGGTATGTGGGGTTTAACGTCCCAAAACCACCATATGTATATGAGAGACGCCGTAGTGGAGGGCTCCGGAAATTTCGACCACCTGGGGTTCTTTAACGTGCACCCAAATCTGAGCACATGGGCCTACAGCATTTCCGCCTCCATCGGAAATGCAGCCGCCAGTCGAAATTCGATCCCGCGACCTGCGGGTCAGCAGCCGAGTACCTTAGCCACTAGACCAGCGCAACGGGGCCATACCACAGGACTGCACAATGCTTCCATATCAGTGCCCTAAGTACTTTCAGCACCGACTGCAACTCCACATGTTGACTGCTTTTGGCAGTTGGTGTGTAGCAGGAGGTGCGCGACACATGTTGACACTGCTCCCCTTGATGAACTCAACAACATACTATACATATCAATAGTTTACATGTGCTTTTAAAACCTGCATAGAGGTCCCAGCATGCAATGTAAACTAAATGGACACAAAAGAGAAACTTTATTTTTGTTTTCTCAATTCAGTACATTGCCTTTTTCAATACCAAAAGCACTATCCCTGCCACAAAAAGCTGCTGAGTAAATAAGAACATGAGCAAAAAGAAAATGAACCACACTAATGTTACCAAACCAACTTGCCCTGAAGTTGCAGGCTTTGGCGGCATCTACTAGGGCCTACATAGTTGTGTGAACGATCAGCAAAGATTACAGACTTAACACAGAAAGTTCGGAAAATTTTATTGAACCAATCTAAATAACATACGAAGTACCCCTTTGCAACCATTGTCATCATGGCGACATTGATGTGCAAAGATTACGATATGAAATTTAAAAATGCGAGCTTGATGATAATTTTATTCATTAATAATAACCCTACTATCTCAGAATTACCAGGAATAATTTACTTAAGGAGCAATTAGTATGAACTGATTCCCTGCTTCACTTTGATCTAATAAAGAACGTTTACTATGATACTGCAGTTTACAGCAGTCTCTGGCAAACCCTCATGTTGCATTGCACTGGGCCCAGTGTACATAAAGACTCTTGAAAAGGAGTTTCATCTTATGGGATGGAGCATATGTCTTACTTAATTGTATAATATAGCATTTCAATTTTATCACATCAGAAAAATTTGTTCAAGATTCAGCTTACCTAAAAAATTGCAACAATTTACAGGTGAGATCAAAAACAGCAAAGTTCTACCCTTTTGTGTAAAAGTATCAGCAGCAAATATCATTCGAATACAAAGCTTATATTTCATTTGTTTCTGTGTGCAAAAACAACATAACACAAATATCTACCATGTGCTATATGGCAGAGGATATCCTCAAATGTCACTACCAGCATTATGCTAACATTATGTCAGAAAGTGCAACTATGATTGTCACGGACAAACTGCAATGCAAGCTACCTTATCAAAAAATGTTATTCAGCTAGTTCATTCATATTGTGTTGCTTTGTTACCATTTTGGAGAAAATTGATTGATTTGTGGGGTTTAACGTCCCAAAACCACCATATGATTATGAGAGACGCCGTAGTGGAGGGCTCCGGAAATTTTGACCACCTGGGGTTCTTTAACGTGCACCCAAATCTGAGTACACGGGCCTACAACATTTCTGCCTCCATCGGAAATGCAGCCGCCACAGCCGGGATTTGATCCCGCGACCTGCGGGTCAGCAGCCGAGTACCTTAGCCACTAGACCACCGTGGCGGGGTCATTTTGGAGAAAATAAGCTACAAGGAGAGGAAAGCTTCTGCTGCCACTGTATGAAGGACATGTTTTCATAGGCAGCATAACTCCTTGCTGGTTGAGTGAAATGTTTTCCCTTTGAAACTGTAAAATGACAAATGTTAGTTTCCCCAAGCAGTTCTCATAATTATTTTTTGTTTTGCGTTCAACTAACACAAGACACATGTTTCAATGCAAAACTCTGCAGGTAAGGTTTGCTTTCAGGGCTTCTTTAAAGTCCATTCTGACTTACTCACCAGGTGTGTTTATTTTTTACAAGTTTTAATAAACTGTAACATATGCTAGTCTATCAGATGACTACTGCAAAAGCCTACAGCAACAAATTAATGTGCCTATAAAATTATTTTTCTTACCCATAACTTTTGGCGACAATGGGCACAATATGAAAGATTTTGTTGTGTGAGAGGCTGCAAAGTCCTACACGACCGTGGCATTTTATTTATGCCTTAGCAAGTGCATATAGCAAATGTGGTTGCAGACAGAATGGGAAAGAAATGGCCTGTGGTGAAACTGGCAGCACATTGAAAATACCAACCTTTCACACTTGCGGCAGTGATGCGACCGTGGTGTCTTAAATCCATCACAGTTTGCACAGTATTGCAGGAACTGCTCATCATCTGGCTGGTCCTGCAAATGTAGGTGATGAACTGGGGCATTTCACTGGGCAGACACCATGTGCAGGTGCACAGAGCATGTTTATATTAAGAATAGAAACATCAACACAAATGAGACGGAGTAGGAAATGGGACAGACAAATACAGGAAGGTAAGTCAACAATCTTGGCCACTAAACTATCCAGTTACCCTTCACACTTGCTGGGTTTTCCCAACATGAATTTTTTTCCAGATATGGTTTTACACTCGCAACAAAGTGAGCCCAATAAGTTACATGGTATCTGACGCTATAATAAATGGTTCATGTAGGCAATATAGCAAGCGGCCTTTACACTCTGTCGTCTTTTCCAATTTTGGGCGCTGTTATGTGCGTTAGTAAGCATGTATACATATAACCCATGCCGACGGTAAAACACATTCATACGAATGGAAATGCAACGATTACTAACCAAATTCTAAAAACAACGTATCATACTGTTAATAAAAATAATACATGCCAGTGACGTAAACTACAATCACGTTAATGTCATCTGCGGGTACAGCTTGCTTTCGGTTTACGACGACGCATTTGTGATCACCGGTGAACAACTTGCACAGCATGTGTCAAGGATTGCGTGGATTCTGTGTACTGACTAGTTAAAAGAAAAAGAAGACTCTCAAACGAGGACCAGACTCTGTACACAGACGCATCAACAACTAAGTGAGCACCTCAGTAAGAATGACAGCCAGGTTCGAAGATCAACCTATTCGTGCCTATGTCAGGCCGCTACTCACCGGCCTCCACTTCAGAGGCACGAAGCCCGGTCCCATTGCTACAGCCATGAAGAAATTGTACAGCAGAACTCCAACCCAACCGATGAATATCCCGTGGTTGACGGTGCCTAGCGTTGAACCATAAGGCGAGAGCCACATAGATGTCACGTACAGACTGGTCAGGAAGATGAATTTGATTATGCAAAGCGCCGTCAGCGGACCCCAATGCAGCAGGCGGTGGCAGAATTGCGCCAGAATGTCTAGCACCCCTGGCTGTGGCTCCATGTCGATGACTTGTTGGGGATCCAGCTTGAATGGCAGCACCCGAAGCCGGGCCGTGCTAACCAAACTATCGAGGACCGCAAGGCTACATGCAGCTGGAGCTCATGCCGTGTGCCTTGGGTTCATTACCTCTCACTGGCTGCGGGTTGAATGCAGGTTCGCTCGGCACCCTGCATAGCCCAATTTTGTTCAGCGTCTCGACATCAAAACTTCACCAATTGCCTACCCCAGGCGCCGGGTAGCACAGCCACTACAATGGGTTTTACAACGGTTGGACAGGTGGTTCGGCGAAAAATAGCGATTACGGCGACCTCTGGGGGACTAGTAGACAAGTTGTTTTCTGCCTTTGCCGTTCTTGTCGCGGCGATCGGTGTAGTAAACAAGACCCACGCAGTGAAGGCACAGAACACCTACCAGTTTAGAGAACGGAAACTGTACCTTAGAAGTGTGGCAGCTTGGGCTAGTTGGTATGGCATGACGATAGTTATAGCGCGAGAACGTCCTTCTTGTCTCTGTGTCGTCGTTTTGTTCTCGCGCTATAACTATCGTCGGGAAACTGTACCTTTGGGCTGTTGTATCAAACAATACTTAGCGGCGGCGTACTGAACTGCAATACCGCGAGGCGAGATGGTGCTAGTAGTACTATCATCATCAATAAACAGACGCACTTTTTTTTGTTGTTGCAGGTGGGGAAATGCCCGCGGCTGGTTCGCGCTGCTCGCTTCCTCTGTTTTTTTTTTATATTTCTTTCGTTGCCCAATCGCGTTTCGCGTCTGTAATTATCGCCAGGGGACCTAGCTGGCCTCGACTGGCAAAAACAACGTCAATCAAGTAAGGTTTGCATCGTTTATTGCGAGTGTCCAAGCCGGTACAATCAATGTATGCGGTTGGGTCCGAACAAAACAAGTCACTCATACATATCGAAAGCTTTCAACCCATGTGTAAAGACTCTTGAAAGCTAACAAGCATATGCATATAACTGAACATCGAAATCGCTGAATGAACTCGCTCTCATGGAGTTGCGGCGCTCGAGTTTAATAGCGTGGCTTCAGGACAAGGGTCCGATTTTGCCGTCAGATGCGGCGCTTGCCCCGTAGTGTTGATCTTGAAGCGAATGCATGATGTGGAATCGGGAAGGAAACTTGCACATTGCCGATAGATAGCTTGCGCAGTTAGAGCAATGTAGTTGTGCTAAATTTGTTAAATAAGCAATTGCGGATGCGTGCATTTCTGAATCTTTCTCGCTCTGAAATGCTAGATTGAGTACTTCACAATTCTGCAATGTCGCGTTGTGTCGAGAGGGTAGGCACTAGTTTTAATTCTCAGCCGTGAGCCCATATCATAGGTATTATGTATTTAGGGGATGGGCCTAAAAATATTTCAGGCTTGCTACATTTATTGTTAGAGTTAAGTTACACGGTTACCACAGCTAGAATTTCTCGTCGCAGGTAATGACCAGTCTGCTGAGTATGCAGCGAACATGTATGCTAAAGGGACACTTATGAGGTGTGTGCTTACAGATCGAAAAGGCCCAATTCTAAGAAAATAAGCTTCAGGTATGCATTGTACAATTTTGTTGTCTGTACATCTTTGTTGGTACTCTTACATCACACTATCTGCTCAGCCCTGAGCACAATCTCTTTTTTTGCATAGACATATCCTTAGAACTTGAGTACTCTCTTGCAAGCAAGCACTCCTAAAATCAATTGGTGGTACATGATGTGAATCTGTCCGAATACTGGATCAATAAACGTCACATTTATTACACACTTGTTATTCTGTTTACTTTTTCAGTATACTTGTGCTTGAAAATGAAGTTGTTTTCTCCCTGCTACTTTTAGAGGTTAGGACTTGAAATACGTACTATCTTGCAGTGTGGCTGTAGATAAGTGAAGATCATGTATGTTTCAACTACCTGTGCGATTTCCTAGATTTTTTTCTATGACCGTAGTGCACAGAATTTCACTTCGTAGTGGTAGACACTATAGTTATGACAACTTAATATAAACAGAAGCAGATGTGCACAAAGAAATCTGGAACGTTTTTCTGCCAAAAAAAAAAAACAGTACCACATGCAATGAACACAATCTTGCTCTTCATGACAGCATTCACGTCTTTGAGGAAGCTGTGCTGCAACTGCTCATCACCTTTATGATTTATTATTTTAGGAGCCCATTGAACATATGTGCAAAGCTAAAGCAATTGAGTGCAGTCTTATAAGCTTTGGTGCATCTTTTTGTAAACTTGTATGAGCTAAACACAGCTAATTAAGACAAAACTGTTCTGGGTGTTGTTGATAAACTGTCACAAGGCACAACTAAATGTCGGAAAGCCTGTTAATGCCCATCACTGTGGGTGTGTTCATTATGTAGTGCAAATAATAATTTCCAACGATTCCAACTACATGCCAACTACGAAGTGATTGTGAGCCGTACAGTAGTGGACGAATTCAGATTGATTCTGGCTTCCAGGGGTTCAAACAAATGACATTGCAGCCTCACAGGAGACAAGACTGCTTGTCGAAAAATTTGCTTTGACACCTTATGTTAACATATTTTTCATATTTTCAAGCTTCCATCTTTTAAGGGTCAGTTTAGTTCACCTGCACCAATCCGAACTGGTTCACAGCAGTGCACGAGAAGTTCAGAACTTGTGCGGCAGGAGTTCAGCTGTGCGGCATCACAAGTGATTGACAAGGTGGAATCCTTATTTTTGTTTGCTTAATTTAATGAGGTGCAAACATCTTGGCAAAACACGCCGCATTTATAGGGGTGGGTACAGCACCTACGTCTAATGCTATGTTGTTTGTTAAGCTGTGCGAGCGGCTGCACCAAACCAGCGCCGTCAGAGCAGAAGGTACAGGAAAGTCATGAAATAGTTTGGTGCTGTACCTCTCCTGCGCTTTTTGAAATGAATGGCAAGATTTAGAAGATGCCATTGCTGCGCCACTGAAACGAATGACGAGGTGCAGCACTTTGTAAAATGGATCATGTCGTGCAGGCGAATCAAAGGTGAAGGCTCATACGTTTCGGCTGGACAACTTAGACGCACTCATGAAAACATTGCAGTGACTAGTTTGTCCCTCGAATTACAGGTAGTACGAACTTATCATCAAAAATGCTGCGCGGTGATAGTCGTTAGGGCCAAGAGGCACATTTAGCTTGCCATGGTCTGTTTGGGCTTCATAAACTGTTCGGTGCAAAACAAAAAGGTATCCTTCTTACTGTATAATGCGTAAAGAAAGAAGAGTGAGCGATGTTTTGTGTGCGTCAATTACGTACTAATGAAGCGTTTTTCTTTGTTTCTTCCAGGTAAGAGAACAACAAACTGATGGCTTCTTATGGTAAGATAGTACTAAGCTACCATGACACACTTCTCCGCGAGTCGGATGTGGAGTTGCTCGATGAAACGAACTGGGTGAATGACAACATTATATGGTTTTGGATGCAATACCTTGAGAATGAGCTCTACGCGTCCAGCTGCGACTCATTCGCCTTCGTGGGACCTGACGTTGTACAACTTGTCAAGCTCGGTGCAACGCTCAACGTTGAGCAGGTGCTCAAGTCACTGGATCTGAAACATAAAAAATTGATATTGCTACCAATCAACGACTGTCGCGATTTCGAGCTGCCTGGTGGTTGTCACTGGAGCCTCCTTGTTTACAACCAAGCAAAAAAGATGTTCGAGCATTACGACTCATCTAATGGACATAACCACTCCCATGCCAAGACAATCGCTCGAGCTTTAACGCCTCTTCTCTCGCTAAGGGAAGGTCGAGTCGTCGAGTCCGACTGCCTGCAGCAGCATAATTCACACGACTGCGGTCTTTACGTTATGTACAACCTACAACAAGTCTGTGCTGAACATATCGTGCTTCCGGAAAGTGATGGTAGTCGTAAGACTTTGCTCACGAGTTGGATGCAGCAGAACAGAAAGACACTGAAAGAACTCATCACGAAGCTTAGTCGGCCAGAGTGAATAAGCATTGTGTTTTAGCTGTCGCGCTATTCTTGATCAAGTTTGATTAATTGATTTGTGGGGTTTAACGTCCCAAAATCACTATTTGATTATAAGAGACGCCGTAGTGGAGGGCTCCAGAATTTTTGATCACCTGGGGTTCTTGAACGTGCACCCAAATCTGAGCACACGGCCCTACAACATTTCCGCCTCCATCGGAAATGCAGCCGCCACAGCCGGGATTTGATCCCGCGACCTGCGGGTCAGCAGCCGAGTACCTTAGCCACTAGACCACCGTGGCGGGGCTTTGAAGTAATAAAGGTCAACATGCTTTCCGTCTCAACTTAGCCGTTTCCCTTTTTTTATTTTTTTTCTATATGTCAATACAAAGCGATTTGAGCCCTGCAGTTCGCGCCTTCTTGTTAATTCAGTCTTTAACAGCATGGCGACTTGCTTGTGTGGCCAAATGTAATAGGTATGCAACTAGCCCAAGCTGCCACACTTCTAAGCTACAGTACAGTAACAACGCATAACGCAAGGACGCAGCTTTTATGTTTTGTGGCGCTGGCATCGTCAGCGGCGACTTCGTTACAGTGGTTGGAATAGAAAAGTGTGATGAGCGGCAAGTGGCGCTTACCGAGTACAGTGATGCCTCCGAGGAGGAGCCGCATGGTGGCGCGCGCAATCGTTTATACGTGCATGTCATTTGAGAAACGATTGAAAGAAATGGGGGAAGAGCGTTGGGCTACGAAGGTTTTCAGGTACTTATACACAAAGAATGTCGATACAAAATGGAGGAAATGAACCAGAAAATTGACGGGTAAATACTTAGGAAACAGCAGGGGGCTAAAAAAAAAAAGAACTATCGGTTAAGAAGGTGAAAGAAACGCAGACCGATATTTGAAGAATTGGCATGATTAAGAAGTCCGCACTGGAGATTTATCGTACATTTAAGCAGGAAATTGCCAAGGAAAGGATCTATGATAATACTCGGGGTAGTTCTCTATTGTTTGAGGCCAGGACGGGAGTATTGCGAACCAAGACATATCGGGCCAAATACGAAGGGGTAGACATGGTATGCAGTGCATGTGGAGGTGAGGAAGAAACTGCCGAACACTTGATATTGTTCTGTAAAGGGCTTCACCCTATAGTTCAGGATGATGGCACAGGGTTTTTCAAAGCACTGGGGCTTAAGGACAGGGAGGGCAAAAGAGACTTTAACCGGGTAGAATTAACTAGAAGGAGGTTATCTGATTGGTGGCTAAAGTCAAGGTACGAGCGAAAATAAAACCCTTCACTGCAATTGAAGTACCAGTCCTCCACTTCAATATTTAAAGGGAAAAAAAGATAAATGTAGCTGTTGGTTCACCAAGTATTACGACTAGGTAGCTTTAGCCGCCGCTCGATCTAAAGGGTACAGCCATATCAATCCATCTATCCAACGTTGTTTGCACGCTTTTGACAGTTTCGTCGGCCACGTTCGTCCTCGTTTTTTTTTTTTTTCATCATTATTATTGCGGTGGCACTCTGACACCAATGCTTCTGTATGCACTATCATGGCGCAAAAACAAAGTCATTGCTTGTCCCAGGGTTCAATACAGGCTACAAGTCAGCTAAAAAGAAGCATGCGTTGTTCAGCGTTCCAAAGGGCGAAGCTGTGGCGCAGTGGCGGAGAGCGATCCCGCGCGCTGACAAGCTGCTTCAAGAAAACTCGGCTGTGTGCGAGCTGCACTTCGGCGAGAGGTACATCTCCCAGCACTTCAAGCACACTTTGATTGGCGAAATTGTCCGCATTGAAAGGGGTAGACACATAGGCGTACTTGCCGTTCGGGGTGGGGGGGGGGGCGAAGGTTCATTGCAGGACGCCTTCTTCCATTAAATCAGTGTATGAGGCAGATTTTACGCTCCTCTTTTAGATGAATAAAAGAGTGCCCCGCTGCCTAGTCAATGTATAGAACAGATTTAGCGCCCCCCACCCAGGTGGCCAGCCCCCCTCTTACGGACGCCTATGGGTAGGCCTTTCAAAGAAGCTGCGCCTTTGGAATCACTTTTTCAAAGTGGTTTAGCTACAACGAGCTTCACAGCGACAGCTTAGAAAAATTTCTTTCCTGCTTGAAAAAAAAAAAAAAGGATGTCACACTGGGCTGCACACAACATGGTCTGAGCTTCACCAATTAAGCGAACAATTATTAAGAATGCATTGTTGTAAACAGATAATGAGTCGCTACACAGAAATGCGTTGCATGACCTGCGTGCAGAAAATAAAAGGTTTTCATCCAGATACCACTCGTGATTCTCGTAATGATGTTTTGAATGATGGGGGTTTATTTACAGATTAGGGTTTGAGGAAATAATGGTTTGCCGTGGAAAGTGTTGCAAGCAGTAGCTCAAAACTGAGTTCATCGTTCCACTCTTCTACCACTTCACATCAATAAAATGTTTCAGTCACGCGCTCACTTTCGGCATCCTGTCGACCTGACGATACACCAGTTCAGTCGCACCCCCGCGTAGGCATCCTGTTTTCCAGAATCTGATTAACATCATTTTTCGGTCGCCATTTGAGGCCAAACACGAAAAAATATATATATATATTTTAAATGTTTTATATTGCCCGCGCGCGTGGTTGATTGCCGTCTCTGCGCAGTGCATCGCTGCCTTAGGTGACGTGCAAACGTGTGCCAGCGCCACTTGGCAATTTCATCCCAAGGCGTTACGCGCTAGCCGGCGGCGCATTCGTCACACTTTCCTATTTTAGCCACTGTAACTTCGTTGCGCGTGTCTCGCGAAGTCTCGCACGCTCGTGCGTCACGCGGCTGTAGCGCGGCTTCACGCACTCTCGCGAGGTCTCGCACGTCCGCGCAGTCGAAGCGGGCGAAAACGAACGTCTTCTTCGGCGCTCGGTTCAAAAACTGGCCGTTGGAGCTGTGCGTGGTTGGTGAGGGCCAATCCTGGCAGTTTTCTCGTAATTTTCGCCCAGTTAATACGCATCACTGCGGGGATATTGGTAAGCGTGAGTACTTATCGTATTTGTGAGCGCAGTTCGAATGGCAGTAAGCTTTTGCGTAGTGCGGTGCTGTTCTCGCTGCAGTAGTCCGGTTTGAATTTTGGAACACGTTTCACAAGGCTTACTGATAACGAGACCGTTTTCATCAAGCCGCGTGTTTAGTCATTTTTTGAACGTTGTACTTCTTGAGCAGCCTTTATTTTCTTCATTTTTTTATACTTGCTTTCAAACTGACCAACGGTCTTCGTTATCCACAGCAAGGCCGCCACCACACAATGGACAACTACGTCAAGGTGGAAAAGATCGGTGAAGGTACTTGTAACACCTTTTACTTGCTCGTCATGCAAAGAAGGATACCTAGCTTAGCTTGACGATTGTGTGATTGCTTATAAATGATTTGCATCCCGCGATTGATCAATTAGCTCTGTCAGTGCAGAGTTCGAGCGATACGCCTTCCGGTTTGAAATGCATGCTTTTTCGGAGCACTCATTTTGCCGAGTAAAAAAAAAAAAAAGCCATTACACGTGTGCAACTTCCATAAGATTCGAGTTCCCTGGTGTTTTTTTATTCGCGATATTGTTGCTGAGGCATCGATGTGTTGCATGTTGTTTGCCTGATGCCTGGACGCTGGTTGGAACATTCGCCGTTTTCTACGGCCAACGTTCCACGGCAAGCGCCGCGGGAAGCCCTTGAATTTCATGAATCGAGCATAGTCTCGGAACTAAGGTCTAAATGATGTAGATGGCATTTGTCGGTGAGAATCGGTCCGCCTCGGCGGAACATTGGCTGCTGACCTGAAGGTCGCGGGCTCGATCCCGGCCGCGGCAGTCGCATCTCGACTGAGGCGATATGCTAGAGGCCCGTGTACTGTGCGTTGTCGGTGCATGTTAAAAGAACAAAAGATGGTTAAACTCCGTAATCATCTCGGGATTTTGTTACGTAAAATTTCGGATATTCTTTGACATTGAGAAGCAGTCTACTGTTCAGTTTTTCTCGCGTTGTGCCAAAAAACTTGACTCTCGTTGGGACTCGTGTTTAGACCTCAGCATTTGTTTATCCACACAGTATCATCGATGGTATAGGAGAACTTCCCCGTTCGTTCCAGTTATTATTGTCAGGCCTAGATATGGGGCTCGACAGCTCTAAATACGATGATGCTCAAAATAGAACCGTGCCTTGGCATGCACGTTCATCGTCACCAAAGTGCCTCGCACCCGTTCATTCGAAGCAAGGTTTTTCAAACTTTGATTAGAATCTCGCGCAGGAGCCGTGCATGACTTTCATCCACGTCATTATTTTTTCTAGAGCGCAAACAATTTATCTAGTTGCCTCATTAGAGCAAAAGTTAGTCAATCATTTGGGAAAAGTAGGTGAATTTGTGGTGTAGATTGTGTTCTCCCTAAAGAAACTTGTATTGCATCCTTTTTGCTTGTTTTCTTTTTACATAGTGGGCATCACGCAGCGCCCCTTCGTCACTTCCGAAGTGCGCCACCGACATGCCCGAGTACCTACAGACTCCGTCGCCTACCGCTGCCGTGTTATCTCCTCGTGCATGCGCCCATTTAGTTTTTCCTCAGAATGCAAGTTTAAGGAATTATCAGCTGCTAGTGAGGCAAGTTGATATAGTAGTCCGTGAAGAGGGAGCAGAGCTTCAAGGTGTTTCTTCGCCGAAAGTTATTGCCCAAAAATTGGGAACGCTCATTGCGATTTTCCGAAAAGTACCGGCATGTTTGGCTGGCACGGATTAACAAAAAATACTTGAAGAAACTCGGTGATATTTGCGCCTTCAGGTGTAACTTAATTACGGTTAAGTGCCATAGCCAAGCAATTACCTGCAAACAAAGATAGTTTACCAAGATAATGTACATACAAACTTGTCCGCGACCACTCCGTGCACAATTAGCGTGTCATGAGGGCGGTTAAAATGGTGATGGTGATCGCGGAAATTTGGGTGTTGCATTGAAACAAACTGTGAAAATGGATGCAAAACAATATTAGTTTATTCTGAAGTATAGCCGATTGGTACGAGTTGTGGGGTCAGGATTTTTAAAAATTTGTCAATTAATTCTCTATATCATGTTCAGGGGCTCCACTGAACATTAGTGTACAACAAAAGTAAAATAGAAGGTGAAGAAGGTGTCAAATCATGCACAAAAAAAAGTGATGACCGGCATTACCGCGGCACGCACCACGCGAAGTCTCTATCTGCCTTGCATAATATTTTCCTCGGCTGCTTCCACAAATTTTAATCAAAGAGGCTCAACATCAGCAAGGGGGGGGGGGGAGGTGCTGCTATTTTTGTGGCGTGGGCCACAGCAATATATTAATAATATATCTTTTGTAAACTTGCGTAGCTCTGCACAACTCGTTTTCGATGGGAGCTGCTGCGCTTCGCTCATCTACTCTTTCAACTGCTGCTTGAGAGACTTTGGGTTTTCACTTGTTCTTGGGCCAGGCAATTTGTAGTGAAAGCGAGATAATTAACGGGCACTCGTGGCTGGTATGCGCGGTGGCTGGTATACGTGTCGCACATTTTGATTTTCTGGTCTTATATAGAGTGAACAAGCGAGGCCTTCTTGATCTGACGAACTCATTAAAGTACAACAAAAAACCACAATGCTTCCTTTTCAACATCGTACACAGCAACAGATGACAAGCCCCCAAGAAACCACGCTGCAGCACCCGAACTGCCGTAGGTACCCAGCGAGGTACCCGGACATGGCGGGAGAGGGCGACAACGGCGGAAGTGACATCGCATCAACACTATGTATAGGTGTAGGCAATGTGTAATGTTTTCTGTCTAGAGTTCGTTTCGATGGCCTCTGTTATGCCAGCTCTCATGTGTTATTTCTACTGCACACTTACTGTTGTGATACATTTGCAGGTACGTACGGGATTGTGTACAAGGGAAAGGACAAGCGTGATGGGTCAATTGTGGCACTGAAGAAAATTCGTCTCGAGAGTGAAGACGAAGGTGTTCCATCTACCGCTATTCGTGAAATCGCCCTTTTGAAGGAGCTGAGACACAAGCACATTGTGAGGTAACATTCAACTTTTGTTGCTCCTTGTTACTTTTGAACGACTATTCCTCATTTTTCGGACTCTGCTTATTAAGTTAGGTTGGATTAATTTTCTTACCTGTGCTCCAGTAAGCGGAATTTTTCACGTCGAGATCAACCACCGAGAGTCCCTTGTGTGGCCGAATCAATTTGAATCGGCTGCTGTTAAATGGATGTCTTGACGGCACTGTCGCTACCGTCGATATCTGTGAATCAGCAGGCATCCAAAAACATATGTCGCTACAACGAGAACTTGCTGCTTCTTTAATAATTGCCAAAAGATTTTTTTTTTCGATTTTCGTCTACAAGCCGTTGCACTGATTGAGTAATCAAAATGGAGGATGTGACGTCATTTTAATGAGGTGCAGTAGAGGTGAGTGGTGGCACAGCTGCTGGATGTTTTGTTGCTACTCTTAATTTCTCAATTTCGTTGTTTACATCACCCAATACTCATTTTGGGTTTTTGTGTCCCTTTAAAGGGACAGAAATTCTCAATTTCTTGCAATTGCCTCCAAGATGGCAGACGTGTTTTGATTCTACTAAGCCCTGCTAGATGGCACGACCTGTTCAGTTTAACCACGCGAAAATTAAATTTTTGAACCACTCGCGCCATTCCCCATAGTAACGTCCAGCGGTTCTTTTTTCCATGAATCAAACAGAAATGAATAAGTAGCATTTTATTGCTTCTCTTGATGCAAGAAAGGTTCTTTATATAGTGTAACTAGATCAATTACTAGTGATTAATTCTATGTGGTTCGCCTGATGTCATTGGGATCATTTTGAGAATGTCCTACTGTGGCGCAGGTATTCTTGTGCATTTACCTTAATTTTTTCGGTAGTAGGGAACTGCTGTTGATAATATTGTTTTATATGTTGTCATACATTAAGCTTTCACCCTGATGGGAATTATTTGACTTTAGTGTCCTTTTAAGGGAACAGGGTAAGCCCTATACCCGCCATGTATTATAGGCAAAGTTTATGTACCTTTTTCTTTATAATCATAAAAGCCACAGTAATTATTTTACTATCATTATGATCGTGAGCCCTTCCTCTTTTCACTAAGGCAGATTTAGCACAGAAAATTGTAATGCTCATCTGTATATTTTTTTACTTCAGGTACCTATTTATCAGTCGATAATAGCTATTAGATGTTATATTGCAGAAGCGCACTTCCTCACACAATAATTCTGTTTCAGCACATTTCCTATTACATTATCTAAATACTGGCCGAAATTTATGATTCTGGATATTGTGGTTGCTGAGAAAAAGAAACATAAGTGCAAAAAAGCATGTTTTGAGATAATCCCATATAAAGGTGAAAATCTGTATTATTTCGAAAGTACAACGAGATAACAGCAAATTGACCGAACCATTCAATAGGCATCGGCCAAATACTCATCACCAATATAATTTTTTATTTTTGTGTTGGAACATCTTGCCTGGCAAGCCTCATTTGTCGCTTGCTATGCAGTCTTGTCAGCGCAGTACTGTCGAGGGTGCGTCAGCCCTGCACTGTGAAGTGCCCTGGCTAAATTCCAAAATAGTTCAGCCCATTCACAGGGGCTATATGGCCATCATTGAAAGTGAGCACAGCACCAAGAGTGTATATTTTGAGTGTTTGTTGTCCGAGGAAAAGTTTTTTGAAGCATGCTGCCACAAAATTCATCGATTCGTTATGGTTTTAAGTTTTTCTATGGGGGCTTTTAACGAGAAATTCTGGATAATATAGTTCCAGACAATTTGGCTTGACAGCCTCAATAACAGATGCTGGAAGGTGTTCTTTATGAACGAACGGTTTGCCATTCAACTGGGCTTTGTGAATTTACACCAAGTTTCAGTGTACTTCGAGCAAAGGCCAGTGGATTGGTTGGTATCCTGTGAGGTCATGTGAAAATATGTAAACCAGGCAGCTTTTCGCATGTCCTCTAAGCTGGCTGTATATTTTTTTAATGACCCAATGAGAACAGTTGTGGTGCTTGCCAATGGTGACACTACTAAGACGTTCCCGACCAGATATAGATTTCCCAACAGAAAGCTTGATGCCTCTGCTTTCTTTTGTTTTTGCAGTTCCGGGCCCATTCTTTTCTGAATGTGCCAAATGCCCTCCAGCTTGCAAACTGAAACTTCTCCATATGGCTAGGGTCCCTGAACTGCAAGGAATCCCTTGATACGTATGTGTGGGGGGCATGGCAGGCCGCCCCGCATGTTTTGAAATATGCCATTTATAGATTGTAAAAAAAAAAAGCGTACCGAGACAAACAAATGACTGGTTCGGGTTCAGAAAAGACTGCGGATATCAAATAACACGTAAAAAGGAAGAAAAATGATTTTTCGGTATTTTTGTTTACCCTGTCCTCTTAAATCCCACATATTATAGAATGCGTGAATATAAAGTGCACTGTAAGATAGCCATACTGGATAAATTTTACCTTAGAGCCCCCCCCCCACCTCCGTGTTTTTTTTTTTTTACAATGGAGCAGATTGCTAGTCCGGGCAGAGCAAATGCAAAGTCATTATCATTATAAGCCGGCATGCGCTGTATTTTTTTGTTCTCATCATCTGCTTTGCTCACAGAACGTGTGCATCACCTTCTCTGACATGGAATGCAACAGTTATGATGGGCAAGTGAATAAGTGTAGAGAGAGAGACAAAAAAAACAGAGGCAGAAAAAAAAATTGAAGGATATAGAGACAGGCGCATAAAAAGAGCAAGACAGAAAGAGGAAAGTATAAAGAGACAGGGAAAAAAGAAAAGACAGGCAAAAAGAAACACTGAAAAAAAAAAGCAACAAAAAGAAACTGAACAAAGATGAAGCAAGAAATGGAGAAGTACAGAAATAAAAATGGACCGAAAATTCATAGAAAATAGGTAGAGAGGAAAGTAAAGTGAAGGAAGATAAAGAGAAACAAGGCAGGCTGCCTAGCTTTGCACTTTCTTCAGGCTTGGCATCACTAGTGCAAAGCTCTGCTTTTTTTTTTTCTTTGGAGGGAACACTCAATTCGAAAGTGGGGGCTTGTGTCACCTGTAGTTTTATGGTATGTATATTGTGGTAGCCAGAAATACCAAAGCACCCATGTTCATTCCTTCCTGTTCATGGCGCCTCAGTTTAAAAAGCATGCTCTCAATGTCACTGAAATATGAGCACATGCAATCCTATGCCTCTCCACCCCTGTGGAGTGCCTAGTTTGCGACTTCAGCTGGCTTTTTTAAATGGTGCCAAAAGTTTATCATAATTCATGGCACTAGAATTGTTTACATGTTACACTAGAACATTCACGACTGAATTTTGCAATTGTCAGACATAGTACTTCCTCAAGATTTCAAGCAAGCACCATCTATTCCCCTCCCATCTTTTTTTTTTCTTTCCCAACCTGTTCTGTTCTCTGCTATCATATTCAGCAGCAGCAGTTTCTAGAAATCTGAGATCTCAGTCTTCAGATATGTGGACGACTTCGTTGTTGTCTTACAGTGTGGTGCCTCGGGGTTGCATTCCAAGTTGTCATAAACTGTTGGAACATTTGAAAAACATCTAGGTCAGATCTAACAGGAATGTCAGAGACAGATTACTGTCAACTATCACTTGAAGTGAAATAAAGTTAGAAGCTTCGTGCAGTCTGTTTGTCAACGAAATTCTTCATAGTTGGCTTCATGTACCTCAGATAAAATTGTCGTTAGTGATCTCTCTCTCTCCTTCTGCTTCAGTAAAAACAGTAAGTGCATGTGTATTCAATAAAGCAATTCATTTGAAGCACAGGTATGCATTCTTTATTCTTAGTGGCTCTTTTACTGCCATCTTGTAATTTGGTTTGTGACTAATTAAGCCCCCCTCTAAATCTTGCCTGATTATCTTTCACTAAAGGGAGAAGGGGTTGTTCAGGATTTCACAGTACTTACTAAACCATAAGTTTCAATGAAAAATTGGGCTGTCATAGGGTACTTTAGTACAGTTTATGCTGGATAAAGAATCAACTATCAAAAAGAAGAAATTCAATAGGAATGGTCATTTGAATCCGAAGTTAAATATATAATAGTTTCTTGAAATTTTGGTTGCATGTGCTTGCTAAAAGCAATTCGCACCTGTGAAAGTGCAAATTGCTTGTTGTTGTCTCCCAACAATAATCATGTGCCTCGCTTGCATTTGTCTTCCTGGAAACTGTGCAAGGAAAGGTGTGAAAGATAAATGGATAGTTATCATCTATCCCAATCTCTCTGTCTCCTCCTGTCGTTTTTTTTCCCCACCCTGCGTGCTGCTTAAGACCGGTTCTCATCTGGTAGTCTGGGGGTGTGATCTACTAAACTAGCTGTTTATTCAGTGTCTGTGTAATGTAGAAGGTTGGGAGAGAGTTTCTGGCCTCACTTTTTCTCAGCCTATTTACTGCGCTGGTCTAACGTCTTTACATGTCTACTGTACGGAACACCTTTCCAATGTGTATATCCACTGTGGATCTGCCTTGTTCATGTCATGTTGCACGAGACTGCTCAGTTGCAGTAAATTGTGGGTCCATTTAATTTGCTAGTAACAGTTGGGCACTTCAATTTTTTTAAAGTTCTGCAGTTTCTCTTCAGTGATGCAGGCACTGTGTGAAACTGTAAGCGGATTTTACGCTGCTTACGTGCATCACTTTTGTTTTATTCACTTTATGATCTGGTGTGGTCATTTTCTAACATGTAAGCATGCTCCACCTTGTAGTGGCACTTATGCCTATGTGATATCGTGCACCTCCTGAAATGACACTTTGCTGCCCTACAAGAATATAACGGAAATATTGACAACTAGTTCAGAAATTATCATTATTTTTGCTATTATAATTCTATTCTATTTGTGAAAAAGAATCTGAACATTTTACCCAGAAAACAAACATGCACATTGCATGGGCTGGGCTTTCATTCATGTAATTAACTGTAGCAAGAGATGTGCTCAAAATAGCTGGCTCGAAATTCGGAATATTTTTCTAATAGTATTTGCTTTTCGATTCGACTTG